ACTGCCCGCAGCCAGCCTCGGACATGCCAACGCCGGCCCCGGAGCGGGCAAAACGGGTCTTTTCCACGCTCGTGTCTTTTGCCTGAGTGTCCCCCCCAGCCCTCCTCAGCCCCCGCCGCCGGCCACCGCCGGGTCTCAAACGCTTCTGCCTTTTTTCGCTCCACAGGTGGACAACGTACCCGTAAAAAGAGATGCCCGTACACCAAATATCAGATTAGAGAGTTAGAAAGGGAGTTCTTCTTCAGTGTCTACATAAACAAAGAGAAACGCCTCCAGCTCTCCCGAATGCTCAATCTGACCGACCGCCAAGTGAAAATATGGTTTCAGAACAGAAGAATGAAAGAAAAAAAAATTAACAGGGACCGATTACAATATTACTCAGCTAATCCACTACTTTAAAACTCATAGCGTTTTTCAAGACGAGATTAAATTCAGATTTCGCCCTTGACAAGGTCAAGCCACGGGGTTACGTGGAGGAAGGAGGTGTGTATCTGACGGGACTAGAAGAATCCAAGGTTTTACATACATGTAAATCTACTCTGGAACTTCAGTGATGATTTTTATATATATATATATATATTTACATATCAACTGGAATCGATTTGATTTTGACACACATGGCATCCATTTCTAAACGTGCACGTCACCTCTGAGTGCAAAATCCATACCTCTTACCTTTCCAGGCACTGCGGCTCACCCTGCTACCGCTTTCCGCAGGCACTGTGGCAATTACGTGTTGCCTTCTGTCCAACAGTTTGTTACTTACAATTGTTATTCAATCTGTCAAAGTCTGATTTTTTTATGTGGGCTTTTTAAAAGGCAAAGCTAGTATGCGGCTGGGGGAAAAAATACCTCGACAATGAACTGTACCAGAAAAGGAAGTTTTTAAAGGGATAGCAGCTACGTTTAATGTAAAGAGCTCCTGAACCTTGAAACCTTTTAAATTCTGCTTAATGAACTTTAAAACCGTAATGGCTAATCGAGAGGAGAATACCTCGATGCGGTGGAGAGTGTGCTTCAAAAAACCCGGGGGGGGGGGGGGGGGGGGGGGGGGGGGGGGGGGGGCCTG